CCCCAGTGAAGTCAATGGGAGTTTTACCACTGACTCCCCTGGGGACAGGACCAGGGCTGGTGTGTTTAGGTGACTCAGCCGGCGCTTTGCTGGGTCTGTAGCGTCTGTCTCCTGCTAGCTCCATGGGCTGGGCGGGGCTGGCTCCTGGAGCCCCTGCTCAGGGCTCTGGACGTGCCCGGTCTGCCCCCCAACAGCCTGTCCCGTCATTGCTCTAGTTGCTGTGGGTGCTGCTCTGGGCCACCATCCTGGGGCTGCTGTGCCAGCGGCTGGCGATCAGGCTGGGTGTTGTCACGGGACTGGACCTGGGCGAGGTCTGCTACCAGTACTACCCAAAGGTGAGTGGCGAGCCGCCGTGCGGGCACCCCGGGTCGCAGCTTGATCCTCACCTTGCCGGGGCGGATCTAGGGGAGCTTTGGCCCCTGGGGTCCGGAGAGCAGCGAGCACGGGCTGGGCTGCGGGTGGCGCCCACGGGCTGCTCGCGTTGGCACGGGCACGTTGGCTGGCGAGACAGGAGTTCCACAGCCGTTTGGCTGGATTCCTCCGGCCTCGGTCACCTGCCCCACAGCTCCGATTCGTGCCCTGCTTTGCAGCATCAAATGCCTGCTTTGGGGTTTTGAACCCTTGGGTAGATTTGGGGTCACTGGAAAGTGGGGGCAGGGAGGGGCTGGCGGTACTGGACAGAACCAGCTACAGTGCAGGACGGTGCTTTACAAACGCACACACACAGTGTGGGCTCTGGTGATGCCCCTCGGCCCGACCCGCAGCCCTCTGCTAGCCCAGTTCTGCTCCCCCGCCCCCCACAGCTCTGCGATGCCCCTCGGGCCCGACCCACAGCCCATTCAGTGAACGTGGGGATCATTCCCTGGAGACTTATACAAACTTTAAGGTCACACTGAGCCCATAAGACACGTGGCTAGAGAGACTCCTAATTAACCTTGGCAAACGGCCCTGGGACGCTGAGACGCAGAGCGAGGCCGCGCCAGGTTCTTCCTGAGGGGAGGGCTGAGCAGAGGGGGGGGTTAGCGTCCAGTGCAGTATATGGTTACCTCGCTACGCTCCCGTGTAGCTCAAATGAACGGCAGGAGCGGACAAGCCCTTTAGGAAGCGGGAGGCTGTTCCCCCGTCAGAGCTCTCTGCAATCGGGGGTGAGGAATCCAACCGTATATTATACCCCAGAGGAGAGGGGCTTTATCATGAGGTCGCACTTTAATGATCCCCAACCCCCCAGAAAATCAGACTTGACCCACCCCTCCGACTATCCCTACTTGTAGCAAAGGAGCCGGCAGCTGCAGGAGAACTGTGGGCTTGTGGTTAGAGCGGCAGACTTGCAATCAGGACTCCTGGGTTCTGTTCACAGCTCTGTGCAGGGGTCTAGTAGGGGAGACTGGGACTGGGGACATCTGGGTCTATTGTCAGCTCGGAGGGGGCACTGTGTTGTTAGAACTGGGAGGCAGGACTCCTGGGTTCTATTCCCAGCTCTGTGCATGGCACTGGGCATGTCTCTATGCCTCAGTTTCCCAATCTATAACATGGGTCACATGGGTGTTGTGAGGCTTGATAAAATGCTCTGAGGTCCCTGGCAATGCGAGGCCGCCAGCCAGTTCCTGACCGTGGCGCTGGCCCTGTTGCTGCAGGTACCGCGCGTGCTGCTCTGGTTCATGATCGAGATCGCCATCATTGGTTCCGACATGCAGGAGGTGATCGGGACGGCCATCGCTTTCAGCCTCCTCTCGGCCGGACGGTAACGAGCCCCCGTGCTGCAGCCACAACGCCTGTGCGCTAGGGGAGCCGGGCCTAGAACCCGGGACCTTCAGCCCCCAGTCTGCCAGCTGAACTAAGAGAGCGCTCCCTGAGCTTGCAGCAGTAGCGAGCCCCTTATCCTGTCTGTGGGTGACATCCCAGGTTCAAAGCAAGCCAGCGTGTTACGCGATCCCTCTAGCATGCCGGATCCTCGCGTTAGCGGCGCTCATTCCTAACCCCAGCGACCGAATGCCGGACTAGCTGGTTTGAAGCCAGGCAGGATTAGCTGGAGATCTCAGAGCTGGGCTCTGCCTGTTTTCCTCGTGACACCAGCTCTAGGCTCAGGCAGTCCTGGGCCTTCTCCTGACACTTCCTGTGGGTTTAGAAGCGGGACCCAGAGACAGATTGTAGTCGCTGTCAAACCAGGCTGCATTCAAGCCAGACCCCTCCAAAGCTGTGTAGCCCTGTTACCAAAGTCCCGAGCCGGCTGGGCTCCATCGCTGGCAATGTTTGAAGCAGGATGGGATGTGCGTCTAACGATCCACTCTAGCTCCACCAGGAGTGAATTCAGGAAAGTCCTGTGGCCTCCAGGAGGTCAGACTAGGGGTCACAACGCCCCTTCTGGCCTGAGGCCCTACGAATCCAGAGTCCCTCTGCAGCCTGCTCTTAGAGCCAGAGCTCCAGGGCTTGGCTGCACCCCAGCGCGTCGCGTTCCCTGAAGGCTTGTGCGCCGGAGACAGTGTCGCTCAGCTGAGCCTTTCACAAGCAGAGACGACCCCTCCCCTCGCTTTCCTCTAGCAAGGGGGCTGCCTGTCCAGCACAAGACAGCGTCAGGAATGAGCCTCCCCTGGCTTCGTCATGGCAGTAACCCCTGTGATTTCCCCCCGCAGCATCCCCCTGTGGGGCGGAGTCCTCATCACCATCATCGACACCCTCTTCTTCCTCTTCCTGGATAAATACGGTAAGTTCTGTGGGGGGACCACAGGTCTGCATCACACAGGCTAGGATGGATCATGCTGCAAGGGGAACTGACGGGCTGGAGGGAGGTTACTAGAGGCCAGTCTTGGCACCAATCTGATTTTAATTAATGACCTTGCCCAAAAAGTGGGACTGGGCTAATCAAATCTGCGGATGACACGGAGTCGGGATGGCCAGGATCAGGTGGAAGTGACAGAGGCAGAAAAAGACCTAGGTGTATTGGCCAATCACAGGACGACTGTGAGCTGCCAACGTGACGCGGCCGTGAAAAAGGCTCGTGCGGTCGTAGGATGTATCAGGCGAGGTATTTCCAGGACACAGGGAAGTGTTAGTACCATTACACCAGGCACTGGTGAGACTCTGCTGGAATACCCGGTGCAGTTCTGGGCTCCTGGGTTTCAGAAGGATGAATTCAAACTGGAACAGGTGCAGAGCAGGGCTGTTAGGGTGATCGGAGGAATGGAAAACCTGCTTTCTGAGAGGAGACTCAAAGAGCTCGGCTGTTTAGCCTAACCAAACGCAGGCTGAGGGGAGAGCTGATCGCTCTCTAGAAATACATCAGAGGGATAAACACCAGGGAGGGAGAGGAATTATTTAAGTTAAGTGCCAATGTGGACAAAGAACACGTGGATATAAACTGGCCATCAACAAGCTTTGGCTTGAAATTGGAGGAAGGTTTGTTCCAAGTTCTGGAACAGCCTCCCAAGGGGAGCAGGGGGGGCAAATACCCAAACTGGCTTCAAGACTGAGCGCGATAAGTGTAGGGAGGGGCTGGTATGGTGAGACTGCCGACAAGGGCATGTAGCCGATCTTCGACTGCTACCAGCAGATATCCCCAATGGCGTGTGATGGGACACTGGATGGGAGCCCTGAGGCACTACAGAGAATTATTTCTCAGGGCTGCTGGGTCTTGCCCACACGCTCAGGGTCTAACCAATCACCAGATTTGGGGGCGGGAAGGAATTCCCCCCCCCCCGGGTCAGATTGGCAGAGACCCTGGGGGGGGGGTGTTCGCCTTCCTCTGCAGCGTGGGGCGCGGGTCACTCGCTGGTTTGAACTAGAGCCAAGGGTGAATTCTGTCACTTGAAGTCTTTGGACCAGGCTCTGAGGACTCGGTGACTCCGCCAGAGCTCGGGGTCTGTTCCAGGGGTGGGTGGGCGAGGTTCGGTGGCCTGCGAGGTGCAGGTCAGAGAAGATGATCACGATGGTCCCTTCCAGCCTTTGACTCTCCGAGTCTGTGAGATTGTCCCCAAGCCAAACGTGCCGCCTGGTCCCAGGGGCTGGCTCTGAGCTACCCGTCTGAGCACGGCTGCAGCGTGGCGCTCCCATGTTCTCCATTTCCCCTCCAGGTCTCCGGAAGCTGGAAGCCTTTTTCGGTCTCCTGATCACTGTCATGGCAGTGACCTTTGGCTACGAGGTAAAGAGACATTCCCTGGCTGCCTTGCCCAGCCCTTGCGTGTGAGCAGGGGAGGAACGGCCCAGAGTTCACACCACAGAACTACCTCGGGCCGCGATCACAGGCTGAGACTCCACAGAGGTCCCCAGTGACCGAGGGAGAACAGGAATATCCGACTGGGTCACTGAGTCCAGTCCCCTCCCATCCGCTAATCCCGCTCACAGATCTCTCGAGCTCCCTCTTAAACCCGGTTAGGTTCCTTGCACTTGTGCTCAGCGAGCGGGCAGAGGTGGGGATCCGAGCTGCCCGCGCTGTGGAGGGGCCACTTACAGACCCGTCTGGCCAAAGGGAAATCTCAGTGCACTGGGCACGGCTGGAGCCAGGAGGGACGGCGCTGCTGCTCTGGGAGGCGTTCGGGGGGAGAGCAGACAGGCGCGTCTTTCCCCTCGCCCGGGCAGCCCTTGTGCCACCTCCAGAGGCCTGCTGTCAGCACAGCAGCTCCCAGCCCCGCAGTGTGGGAGTTAGGTCAGCTGCAAACCCTTCCTTGTTTGTCCCACAAGCTAAGCAGGGGGATGCCGGATCAGTATTGCATGGCAGACTCCCCTCCAGGGAGAACCAAGTGGCAGCAGATGCTTTCCCTGGGAGGTGCTGCCTTGCAACTGCTTGCGATCGTTAGAGACCGTGGGCTTCGGGGTGTCGGCCCCGCGTCCTGGCTGGGGCGTGTCTTTGCCCCCCATGGATTGGGGTGGGGATTCGTGTGGCCGTGTGCTGGACGGAGCTGCCGTGACCTCGGCCGGTCTGGTGGGGACTCCTGTGTCAAGGAGCTGGGGAGGGGGACTGCTCGCTCACTGCCGCCTTGCCTGGCAGGCCAGCGTTAACACTGCCGACAAGGGCAGAGTGGGCCGTGGAGCCAGAGCCATGCTTCTCCTCACTCCTCCCCTCCTCTGTCCCCAGTACGTGGTGGTACGGCCTGTCCAGACGGAGGTGCTGAAGGGAATATTCTTCCCCTACTGCCGCGGCTGCGGGCGGGAGGAGCTGCTGCAGGCCGTGGGCATCGTGGGCGCCATCATCATGCCGCACAACATCTACCTCCACTCCTCCCTGGTCAAGGTGAGGGCTCGGGGTGGGCGCCCGACCCT